CCCCCCGGGATTAATAATGTCTGTCTGTCTGTATCCATCCATCCAAGTCGCAGAAACATTATACTTTTTCATGCACAGTAATATTTGGCAGTTTTGCAAATTTGTTCCTGTTTTTAGTATTTTATCTTGTTTTATACTTGGATTCTAGAGATTTTATTACATTGTGTTGTTTATTTTGTCTGTTTTAAACTGGCCTCTCTTGACCTCATGTTCGTGCTGCTGTTGTTATGTATAAGTCACCAACACCACCAGCCTGATCAAGGAATCTCATCAGAGACTCTACTTCCTCAGATGGCTGAGGCGAGCTGGTCTGGAAGCTCAGTCCTCCCCTCCTTCTACAGGTGTGCAGTGGAGAGCATCCTGTGCTCCAGCTTCAACGTGTGGCATGGAGGCTGCACAGCTGCAGAAAGAAAAGCTTTGCAGAGAGTGGTGAAGGCTGCACAGAAGATGTTGGAGTCAGTCTCCCCACCATCACAGACATCTACACCTCCAGATGCAGGAAGAGGGCCACCTGCATCATGAAGGACCCCACTCACCCAGCACACACACTTTTTGCCCTGCTCCCCTCAGGAAGGAGGTTAAGGAGCATTAAGTGTAGAACCACTAGACTGAGGAACAGCTTCTACCCTGAGGATGTTAGACTCATGAATCTCTAACTAGAATAATCTCTGTGAACAAAAAATCACTGTGATGCAACTTAATTGTTGAGAAGTGCTGCTGATCTGATGCTGCTGATCTCATGCTGCTGATTTATTTCACATTGCTGTGTTCATTCGTGCTCATCTGCTCACACAGACTCATGTTCGTGCTGCTGTTCAGCGTATTGTTTCAGTACTATTAGTGCTTAGTGTATTCTTAGTTTAACATATAGTTCATATCTTAGATCTTATTACTGTTTTTCTTTACAATTTATACTTTTGTTGGACGTAACTGGGACCCTGTGTACATAATTTTGTTCCACCTCGTGTACCACATGTGTTGGAAACGACAATAAAGTTGACTTGAACTTGAAATTGAACCTGAGTCCTGGTGACTCCACGAGACTACCTGTATGAATAAAGATTAAATAAATTAATTTAAAAAAGTTTTAAAACTCAAGCAATTTACAGGTAATGAGCTAACTGATCCTCAGAGTACTAACAGATCACACAAGAACCTTACCACACATTTCTTCAAGGAACACTGGTCTCATTCCACCGTTCAGCTCCTGTTTCACAAGGAAATAAAATCTGAAGGCAAAAGTTGGAACTGAAAACTGATTTCTTTAGTTTTTGGGACTCATCCTCTCATTTGACCTCTCAGCATCTCACTGCATATAAAACTAATCGGTTCAGTCTATCCACCTCCACGTCTCCCAGTTGTTGAGCAATATTTTTAAATAAACATTTAATGGAAAAAAAAATAGACGTGCAATTAAAAAAAAAAAAGATTTAAAAAAATTACGACAGGCAAATACTGCTAAATGTCATTAAATGTTTGTTTTTTTTGCTTCCTCCTTGAAATTCAGTGCTGCTTGCATGACCTCACCATCAGGAATAGCTCTCCCCCCTCTCTCATCCCCTCACCCCCTCCCTCTCTGTCCAACGTCTAAATGTGTGGTGGTGTTCAAGAAGTACTTCTTTCTGAACTCCTACACAGGCAGGAGTGAGCGGCCCCTGGAGTGAGCGGCACCAGGAGCATCATCAACGGTACGTTTCACTGGACACCCTGAAACAGGAACATCAGGCGACGCTGGCGCTCTTCTTTAGCCTCTTGCACTGATTCAGCCACTCAGACAGAACTGTCTTTTTTAGTCGATTATCAAATAACGTTGATGAGAAAGGTAGAAGAAATTAAATTTACATTGTTCTGTGAATACTCTCTTTTAAACAGTTCACTTCCACTTTTTATACGACGGTTTCATTTGGTCTGTCGCTCCTTCAGGATGTTTTCAGGTGCCATGAATAAATGTAATGGGCATTATGACATTACTTCCTGAGATAGAAAACTTCTACTAATTGGCTTATTTTACATATGAATGTTTCTGTTCGGTGCCCTGAGACGACTTCTGTTGTGACTTGGCGCTATATAAATGAATTGTGATATAAAGTTAACAGTGTATTAAAAAAGCTGCATCTGATTGTGTCTCTGGGCCGTTATATTCATTTCACGGCTCACGATGCAGCGTTTCCTAGCTACAGCTGGCACGGTTTCATATGTATGAAAACTTCCACCGTTTCATCTTAAGGGCCGTTTATTTAAATATAACTTGAGGAGTAAAAATTAAATCATCTTTCATCACATTAGGAAATGCATGAACGACTGTTAGAAAAACAATTTGCTACTCTGTATAATGAGATCTCCTGATGCATGCTCAATAATCCAGGTAGAAAAATCTAAAAAAAGTTAAATCTGGTCCTCTGGACATTCAGAAAAACAAAAAAAAAAATTGACAAAACGTTTCTACAATTTTTTCGTTTTGTTTATTTGAATGTCCAGAGGACCAGATTTAACTGTTTTTTAGATCTGTATAATGAGGCTTGTCTTTAAATCTTGAAATCTTCACGGGATTTGTTGCTTTATATTTTACGAGCTTCCACTCTGATTAAATCTCGATGAGTCAGACGTCACAGCTGATCTGAAACTTTTCCGTAAAATGCTTAGTTATCGTCTGTCTTTTGTAGGAGACTGGCTGAGAGTGACATCCCGTTGCCATGGTTACGTTAGGCAGGACGAGCACATGATGTGAATTGAAATGCTCTGATTGAACCGTGCACATGAACCGTGAGAGTTCAGCTAAACCAAACATCTTCACACTTTAAAGCACATTAGTGTTTTAAACTTGAGCTTGTTATCTGTGTGTGTGTGTGTGTTCTTGTTTGACACGTTTAGCTGCTAAAAGTGCACACGCTGTTGACTCAGCTTTGATTTTTGGCGGCTGTGTGTGTATTAATACACGTACGAGCTGGTGTGAGACTTTCTGCTCTCCACCCTTTCCACTGTACAACCGTCTGTGTGTATTCTCAAACACAGGCCATACAGTTTGTGTCAGTAGTGCTGTATGGACGCACACACCCCCGCGCACGTTCACCTCACCAGATCCTTCAGACGTGAGTTCCCCTCACATCACCTTGGTGATCTATGACTGCCGGTCTGTGTTTCTTTGTGTGTGCACATATCAATGTCAGCTCTGTTCTGCTTCTGGCGGGCAGAGGAGGGTCAGAGGAGACTGGGCGAAGGGGGGAGGCAGTGGTGCGTTTGTGTGTTGAAGGGGGGAGGGTGGGTCTCCTGATACCCGCCTTGTGTTTACCTTGGCAGGGTGGAGGTCCCACCCCTGTTCGCTGCTGGAACAGACCGAGGCCTTATTCCCCTCCCTGTTGGTTGGGAGCTGGACATACCACAGCGGCAGACCTGGGGAGCAGCAGCCACCCCGGTGTCTGAATGGGTGCAGTGTGGATTGGTGCCCCCTGGCTTGACTTGGCCGTGGAGAAATTTGCTCACAAATGCTGGTGCGCATCATGAAGTGGCTTCAGTTTAAATGGTGCATTTAAAAGCAACAGAGGACCCACTAAGTGGATGTGGGTGCTAAAGAGGTGAGGGTTCTGGTGGTTTGCCAGTGAATCCTGGGAGGAATTTTAACACAGTAATGCATCTTGATCATTAAATGATCATACCATACCACTTTATTTATAAAGCACTTAAAACAGCTACAAGGCCAACCAAAGTGCTGTACAGACAAAACAACAGGTAACACACAAAGCAAAATACAAAATGAGGTAAATCAGAATATAGACATAACCTTCATGGACATCTTCATGGACACTTCTGTCTATACTGGAAGGTGATGGTGTTACTTTGTAAAGGAATGTAATATCTAGTACTTTAAGTAGGCTAATTAAGTATAGTTCAAGTTCAAGTATCTTCATTATCCCCAAGGGGCAATTAGTTTCACAGTCAGTAGGTATAAAACTACTACACATGACATTAAGACATTAAAATAATACGGAAGTCATCAACGTTCATTGAGAAGCCTGATCGCAACAGGGATAAATGAGTTTTTCAATCTGTTCGTCCTACGTCTGGGCTGCAGATACCTGCGTCCAGATGGAAGCAACCTGAACTCACCATGGTGTGGATGATCAGGATCTGCCAGAATCAGCCTGGCCTTGTTCACTGACCTCGCCTTGTGTAGGTCAGCGATTTCTGGTTTGCAAAGTGAATATATATGAATATATATATATATATATATATATATATATATATATTTATTTATAGTCATTCATTCAACCTTTATTTATACCTTTTAGTCTCATTGAGCCACGAGGACTCATTTTCAAGAGAGACCTATTTTAAAACAAAACCACAGAAGATGTACACACAACAATACAATCGTATAAAAGCATGTAAAATGAAAAGTAAATAAAGGAAGTGATATTAAATTAAATTAAAAATGATATAAATTATTATATTATATAATACATAAGTGTCACAAAAATCTAAATAGTATCAGATACTAAGACAGTAAGAGATATGATCAGTGCCAAACCACTGGTCAGATCAAATGTTGGGACTGAATGTTCCTAATGAAAGTGCATTCCAATAATCTTAGGATGGATCTATTGATCTGTCTACAATAGAAAGTGTGATCTTATGTGTTTCCTGCCAAATTGGACTAACTGTCACTTTCAGACTGAGCTTATATTAGTCCAACCCTTCTGCGTGAGCTGAATAAAAACACTCAGACAAACTACACTTCAGAATAAGCTTTATTATCATTGTACAGAGATACAACGAGATTATGTCCTTACGGTCGTCTGAAAGATGGCCGGCGTGCACGTTGCTGCTGCTACAAGAGTGCAGCCTTGTATCCTTCATCAGAATAGTTTTAGATAGAAAAAGGGAAAATGCCATGAGGATGGATAGTGGTATTACAAAAAAGATCTCTTCACACCTTGCTCTATCAAGACACTATTTGAGACATCAAACAACTCTACCAGCAAGCACATTTATTGACACGTTACATATGCATTTGACGTCAAGATTTGTCCATGAAGTCCTGATAAGATGTTGGTCAGCCGGCAGTTCTGATAAGCCTGCACAGAAGTTTACCCATGTCCCAGGAGAAAATTGATAGTCGACCAAACAGGGGAGTCAGATTCAGATAAGCCACAATTGTTGATTTTCTTCAGGCAGACTGTTTTTTTTCTCATCAGCCTCGAGTCCTGCTGGTACTTACGATCCAAAATAGCCAAATTTGTGGGCATTCCACTGACCTGTGCTAAGGACGTCTCCAACATGCTAGCGAGTCCTAGAAGCTACAGGTGGCCTGCGCTTCTCACAAATCGCTTCTATCTTACGGTTTAGCTCGCACGTCAGATGATTTTGAGCTGAAAACAGCAGCTCAGACTGAGGAAGTCTCTTGGATGAGAGACGAAACGTTTATAGATTTTTTTGCTTTTTTTTTTTTTTTTTTTTGAATGTCCAGAGGATCAGATTGAACTTTTTGGGATTTTTCTACCTGGATTATTGAGCATGCATCAGGATATTTTGAGTACTCGTAGCACGAATCAAACCTTCAAGGCAGGCAGCCTGACGAGGGCCAAATTAGCTGCAGCCATCTTTTTTGTATGCTGACAAACCAGGAACCAGCTGATTCTAAAAAGCAGGAACCCTGTAATCATAAATCCAATTGTATATGTCTTCGGCGTCCTCCTGAGACAAAACGGAAAGACACATCAGCTCCCACATTCATAACGTATCCTGCAGCGTGATTCTCAGTGGGACGTGAGGGCTCTCCAGGACGCTGTCGCTTTGTAGAAAAGATTTTGTCAATTGCGCTGAAAGTCCAGCTCACCAGATCTATAACAGTATTTTTCGTTCGTGAGATGTGTAGCAGGAGCTCCGAGACACAGACAGAGAGCAAAAAAACAGGAGGAAGAGGAGAACAGAGAAGGGAGAGAAAAGGTGTCCGCTTTGTGCGAGAGCAGAAAAAATCTGCACAATGTCTGCAATGCCTTTTAATCTACGGAATGTGGACTGAAACAAGATAATGAATCTAAACAGGTCGCTTCACTTCCCTTTTGGCCGTTTTATCGCAGCCTCTCGTGAGTTCCTCCAAACGGTTTATGAATGCCAGCTTCTGGTTTATCAGGTTTAAATGTCTCCGTGGCTGTTTGGAATGAACCGGGAGCCTTCTGCGGCCTGTCCTGGACCTCGTTAAAGCAGCACAATAAGGGTTCAGTTGAGACTCAACGGTTCCGTAAGCTTCAGGGCGTTGAAAGTCAGAGCAGTGGAAAGTGGAGCGAAAACAAGCAGCGTGTGACAGATGTGAGACTGTCGAGGCCGCCGGACGTGTCTGGAGGTGCTACGTGCTGTGTGGCTCGGCTGTTACACTTTTCCAACTTCCTAAAAGCAACGAAAGAGAGAAAAACCTGCAACAAAATAAAGTGCCTCTTTACTGAGCTCAGTTCTCTCACATGTGCATGCTAACGTGCGTGTAATGACCCCGTTAACAAGGTAATGATTCACATCGGGTAGGTTTACTACACCTTTGCTAATTAGCCGTGGTTCAACTGAGAAAAGGGAAAAATGGCCGCTTAAATATTTGACAAATGTTATTTTTGTCATCAAATACATCTGATAAAAATCCGGTAATACAACACGAGTCTAATCACTTCAAATTATATTCTGTGTTTTAACATTTATTGTGTTAAACCCAAACCAACATTAGTATAACACTCACCTGGAATCAGTGAAGACCCCGTTGGACAATCGGACACATCTTGATGAAGACGACTTTGTTTCTATAACAGGAGCATAACCATAGTTGGAAAATCAAATTAGAACATGTTCAGTTTCAGCATTAAATATTTATACTAATCAGTTTTTAACAAAAGTTAAAGCATTTGAGGTCCACGAGTCACACTTTTCTTGTAGTGCTTCAACTTATTTCTGGTACAAAAACACATTTTGGGACCAGAAACACTCACACCTTATTGAGTATTTCCCAATGTTCCTACACGCTCGATGCTTTATTTTCATTTCAGTGAAAGAGTGGCGAACAAACAAAACAAAATTAAATATATATATATATATATATATATATATATATATATCCTAGTTAAAATGGAGTAAGAAACCACTCATACAGGAGGTGAAACAACACAGCGCCATACAAAAGTAGAAGAGGGGAAAAATGTTCAAATTGATCAAACACTCGTCTTTCTGTCTCTTTTTGATCACAGGGCTTTGGTCAAATGTTTTCACCTAATCCATGTGATTTTTTTTTTCTGTATTTGTCAGGTAACCATGGCAACTCTATTTCTGCTCTGTGTGTCTTTCCCCATCATCTTGGCAACATCGTTTCAACATGATGACGGTAAGAGACCTCTGTGTAAAGTGAAGGGAAAAGCAGCAGTTTTCCTGTTGTAAGTTGAAGTTGAATTGCCGACGTGACTGTTGGCCTCGAGGGTGTACACGGTGGATGATTTTTGAAGCCAATCCTCTTCTGTAATTACAATGCTATCAGGAAAGCTTGTTTTGACAGAAACTTCCATCCCAGTCATATGAGTATAGGAGGTTAACAGTACCGTACTTCCTGCCGTACACGTCGCACCGCCCTGTAAGTCACATCAGTGCAAACATGTCTAATAAAGTGGAAAAATCCATAAATACGTCGCATCTATTACGCGTCACCGCTGACAACCCGGAAATGTGGGCTGGTGTTGTGCCAAAAATCGATTGGCTGCCAAACGGCATCCGCGGGAGCGTGCACGGGAGGACTTTAACAAGAATTTAACAAAATTAACACTTAAAAACAATTTTTTGTTTGCTTGAAATTATAGTAAAGGTTTGTCTCAGTCGAACTTTCCGTTAATAAATGCACTTTTACGGTCAAATCAGCTGCATTTCAAACGCCGATACGTGGAAGTGGGATGAGTCCCTCGGCATTTCTTCACAATTTAACAAGATAACCACCTAAAAACAATTATTTGTTTACTTGACTTTACAGTAAAGGTGTGCCTCAGTTGAACTTTTACTTAATAAAAAGGCCTTTAATGGTCAAATCAGCTGTATTTCAAAAGTATTCACTGCCTCGGTGCTTCGGGAGAGTGCATAGGGAGGAAATCAGGAAGAGGGAACGCTACGGATTTCTTCACAATTTAACAAGATCACCACCTAAAAACAATTATTTGTTTGCTCGACTTTATAGCAAAGGTGTCTCAGTTGAATTTTTACTTAATAAATGCACTTCAATGGGCAAATGAGCTGCATTTTGCCGGGGCGGTGCAGCGAAATGAAGCTGATTCTGATTTGACGGTTGCTCCAGGCGACCAGGACGAAGGTGGCAGGCTATGGCAAGCCGACTGCGCCACTTTTGCATATTCCATGACACAAGTGCTATCTAACCAAATGTTAGCGTTCAATACTTGAACATACATGAATGAAAACGGTCATGTCTCAGCCAAAAATTGTTTTTTAAATATGTGAAAAAAATTCATAAATGTGTCGCTTTGGCATATAAGTTGCAGGGCAAATTATGCCAAAAAACACAACTTGTAGGGTGAAAAATACAGTAGTTTTATACTGATAAGTGTCCATTTAAATCCTTCAGAGCATAGCTTTAATAGTTTAACATTTTTAAGCAAGTTGACACTTGTTAATAAATAAAAATCTTCATCACGTCTTTGTTTATCACAGACATGGACAGCACATTGCGTGTCAGCATCCCAGTGGAGGTGCCTCTTCGTCCTCTGCTGGGCGATAAGGTAGTGGTGCCTTGCTACTTCCAAGATAATACCGTTAATGACCCTGGAGCCCCCACCATCGCGCCGCTCTCACACCGCATCAAATGGACCTACGTCACCAAAGAGAAAGTTTCCACAATCTTGGTGGCTTCTGAAGGCAAAGTTTACGTGGAGGCAGAATATCTGGACAGAGTCACACTGGTCAACTATCCAATGGTTTCTACTGATGCCAGCATGGAGCTGACAGAGCTGAGGTCCAAAGATTCTGGCACGTACCGCTGTGAGGTGATTCAAGGAATTGAGGACAACTATGACACTGTAAACATCCAGGTTCAGGGTAAGACACAAAGTTTAACATTTTATTGCCGTTTGTTCAAATGTATAACCCATCAAAGTTCCTGACTAGGTACAATTAGCAGTTATCAAGAGAAGATGCTTCAGTGGGCTCAATAAAAATGATGAGTGTGTATATTTTACAGGAATTGTATTTCACTACCGCGCCATCTCCACCCGCTACACCCTGACGTTTGAAAGAGCCAAAGCAGCCTGTATCCAAAACAGTGCCACCATTGCTACTCCAGCGCAGCTCCAAGCCGCTTATGATGATGGATACCATCAGTGTGATGCTGGGTGGCTTTCTGACCAGACTGTCAGGTACAGTAATACCATCAGTTGTAAAAGACCAGAGAAACATTCAAACAAGAGGCGCAATTAATTAGTAAAAGTAAGCAGTGAGATTAATGTCAACTTCAACTGGCTGCTTTCTGTTTGAGAAGCCTCGCCTCTGGTGAGCAGACCTGGTGAACCCTGAGGTGTCTCACACACACAGACCATCTGATAGTGGGAGATAATTGTGATAATGTCACAATGTTTTGCATTTTGCTACGTATGTTGGAGTTTTTTTAACTCTTATTTTTAGGAGACTCAAAACATGAATAAATAAAGTGTACGCTGTAAACTGTCCAGTCCTCTGCCTTATAGGATCACGCACAAACTTCATCATATACAGTGGTGCTTGTTTGTGAAGAAGTTTGTGAAGTCTCTAGAATTGTCTGTATTTCTGCATAAATATGACCTAACACATCGTCATATTTTCACACAAGTCCTAAATGTAGATAAAGAAAACACAGTTAAACAAATGAGACAAAAATATCATATTCTATCATTTACTTAGGGTGTCAGCAAAGATCAAAGGAAAAGTTTACAAGACAGTGGTGAGACCAGCTGTGTTGTATGGTCTGGAGACAGAGACATGGACAAAAAGACAGGAGACAGAACAGGAAGTAGCAGAAATGAAGATGTCGAGGTTCTCCTGAGGAGAGACAAGGATGGATAAGATTAGGAATGAGATCATCAGAGGTACAGCACAGGTTGAAGGACTGGGAGATAAAGTTAGAGAGGACACACTGAGATGGTTTGGACATGTCCAGAGGAGGGACAGTGGGTATATTGGTAGAAGGATGTTGGAAATGCAGCTGCAGGAAAAAGACATAGAGGAGATATATGGATGCAGTTAGAGAGGACATGGAGGTAGATGGAGTGAGGACAGAAGATGCAGAGGACAGAGATGAAGGAGGATGACTCACTGTGGAGACCCTGAAGAGGGAAAAGCTGAAAAAAGAAGAAGAATAAGATTACATATTTGTTAGTGGTAAAAATATGTGAACCTCTAGGATTAGCAGTTAATTTGAAGGTGAAATTAGAGTCAGGTGTTTTCAATCAACGGGATGATGATCGGGTGTGAGTGGGCACCCTGTTTGATTTAAACAACAGGATCTATCAGCGTCTGCTCTTCACAACATGTTTGTGGAAGTGGATCATGGCAGGAACAAAGGAGGTTTCTGAGGAGCTCTGAAAGAGTTGTTGATGCTCATCAGGCTGTAAAAGGTTACAAAACATCTGTAAAGAGTTTGGACTCCACCAATCCACAGTCAGACACAGTGTGTACAAATAAGGAAATTCAAGACCAGTGTTACCCTCCCCAGGAGTGGTGGACCAACAAACATCACTCTAACAGCAAGGTGTGGAATAGGTCACAAAGGACCCCAGGGTAACTTCTAACAAATGAAGGTCTCTCTCACATTAATGTTCACGAGTCCACCATCCGGAGAACTCCGAACAACAAATGCTGAAAACGTGAAACATTATGAAAGTGTGGTTTATGTTGCCGTGATGTAACCATCTCTTTGTTGTGAGCGTGGTGTTTTGTTCGTTTGTTGTCACAATGCTGCAGTGTACCTGTGTCACTGACCAGCATCTTCTATTTGAAATTATTCCATGAAGTTGTATTAATGACCAAACTTCAGTCTTCTGTCACTTCCTATCCTTGATCTTACCCACCATCTTTTGGGTCGTCTTCTTGCTAGTGCCGTTTGTTGGTGTACTTTGGGATGTCTCGGTCTTGAAATTTGTCTTCTGTCGTCCTCGTCTTCAAGTAAAGTCCAAAAAAAATGTATGACAGCAACTTGAGTATCAGCGTTTTCCAGGTTTATGTTTTTGGAGTGAATGACAAGTGGAAAATGTTGATCTCAAATAGGCACACCTCATGTGACTGAACACAGTACACAAACAGTGCAGAAAAGAAAGACGGCAACACTAATTACACTTAAAGGTACGAAAAGTGCATAACTAAGAGTGCATAGCATGACATCGTGTGACATTATTATTGGATCAGTGCTGTGTAAACTTTGTCACAACGATGTAAAGTTGAAGCAGAGTTGTTTCAAAGTTGCTGTTTCTGCTACAGAGTTTGACTAACAAATAAAACTAATAAATAAGTCTTTACAGTACTCAGGGATTGCGGAAAATCAGAGAAGTCTAGGAATAACATTTAAAAAACAATGTTTTTACTTCTCAGTTTGTTACAAGTTAAAAATACAATATGTATTAGATACAACTTACTGAGCACTGTAGGTAAAAACAGATGGATCTTAATCCTTATTCTTTTAGTCATGATGCTTAGCTAAATATAGATTGCTTTTTTGTAGCTCTTATCATTAAAGATTACTACTTGTTCATCAAAACACTGCTAAGGCTAATCTATAATTTGACTTTTCCCAGTCTGTCAAAGGTTAAAGCGTCCCTGTTCAATGTCTTTTATAAAACAACTTAAATGACAGAACTCTCTCTCGTCCTCTGAAGGTACCCCATTCATGAGCCACGGGAGCGCTGCTATGGAGACAAGGAAAACTTTCCTGGAGTAAGAACGTATGGGATTAGAGACGTTAATGAGACCTACGACGTGTATTGTTTTGCTGAGAAAATGTCAGGTATGCTCATCTAACAAGGGCGACACACCTGAAATATACACTGCATAATAAACAAATACATATTTTCATGTCCGTGTGTTTTCTTTTGCCCTTCTCTCTTCTTCCCTCCCAGGCAGAGTCTTCTACTCCATGTCTGTAGAGAAGTTTACCTTTTATGAAGCACAAGATCAGTGCGCCAAACTTGGTTCCAGGCTGGCCACCACTGGTGAACTTTACCTTGCCTGGAAATGGGGTATGGATGTGTGCAATGCTGGTTGGCTGGCAGATAGGAGTGTACGCTACCCAATCAACATTGCCAGGCCTCAATGTGGAGGGGGGCTTTTAGGAGTGAGAACTGTCTACTTGTTCCCCAATCAGACAGGATACCCCTACCCAGACTCTCGCTTTGATGCCATCTGCTTCCAAGGTTAGTTATCGTTTGAAACAGCTTCAGATTTGTAGGTAATTCTGGGAGTTTCAGAAATGTTTACTCTTTGCTAGAGTAAAATAGATTAATTTGTATTGCTGTATACTACACTACACACAAACAATAAAAATGTACGGTATAAGTTATACAAAACTGTCTTCACAGCAAGTGAAGATGAAGGTGCTATTCCTGAGAGGACCACACCTTTCCCAGACATCATCCAAATCACACCCGCTTCAGAGCTCTACCCAGGACTGACACCTACACCTGGACGGGAGGAGGCCAGGTCTGAAAAAGAGGAAGTTCTCACCTCATTGACTGTTCCACCCATCATGACTGGCCAAGATATTATATTAGTTCCTGGACTGGATTTGACAGGTGAAGATGTGACCATGGCTCCCACTGGTAAGAATGTTACAAGTTTCTTGTATCGTTAATTGAATACCCCATTTTCTTTTCTTAATCCCTGTACTTCATTTTCCAGGTGTGGTGTTCCACTACCGACCCATCACTGGTCGGTACACTCTGACCTTTCTTGAGGCCCACCAAGCTTGTCGAAGTATTGGAGCAGTCATCGCCAGCTCTCAGCAGCTTCAGGCAGCCTTTGAGCAAGGCCTACACCAGTGTGACGCCGGCTGGCTGCGTGACCAAACTGTGCGGTAAGATGATCAACCACAGCATCTCTAGTGTGTATTAAACTTATTTAGTTATTATTTATATATTTTAGTTAAATGATATGATCAATTAGATTCAATCCAGTTTACTTATATAGCGCCAAGTCACAACAGATGTTGTCTCAGGACAAAGACAAGACAAGATTTTATTGTCCACCAAGGTGGAAATTTTCCTTTGACTCTCCAACCATAAAATAAAACACATTCATACAATCAAAATATCAACAATTTGTGCATAGAATAAAACACTTTGCATACCACAGGTAGATGTTATCATTCGGTCTGGTTGGAATGGTTATTGCACTCGGAATAAATGACTTCTTATAGATATTCTTCGTTGCCAGAGGGACCCTATAATGCCTTCATGAGCTCAGAGGTTTAAACTGACGAAAAAGAGAATGGATGCCATCTTCTAAAGCATTCCTTGCTGTCTTCCTTGTTCTTTCTGCAAGACAGTTGAGACAGAGCTTTTTGTGGTTTCCCCACTATTTTACCTGCTATTGAAACAATCCTTAACATTTTGTTTAGTCTACAGCTCATTGCCTTGTACACAAGCTCTAAAGTTTGCTGACTAACTCCGAGACCATTCACATACATTATAAAAGCCAAGTAGTAAGTTATCTAAGGAAGCAGCAGATTGCGTTGACTCTTCACTTTGTCACTGTCTCCCATCCTGAGCAAGCACAAAGGCGACAGTGGAAAGGAAAATCTCCCTTTAAACAGGAAGAAACACAACAGAACCAGGCCCAGGACAAGAGGCCATCTGCTTCGCTAATCAGAGGCATTATGTCTGTTATTGAAATCAATAGGTTGTTTTAATTTTACCATTCAACAGCTTCAAGATTTAAGATCTTTAAAACTATACTCGCTATTCTTTGTCCTATGCTCAGGTATCCGATTGTGTCACCAAGACAAAACTGTGCTGGTAACCTGCTAAACCTTCCAGGAGTGAGATCGTACGGCTTGAGACCAGCCAGTGAACGCTACGATGTATTTTGTTACGTGGAGCGTCTAAATGGTGAGCGTCTAAGACTAGCAGGGTACCCTAAAATCCACAAAGTGCCACTTCATCTAAATTCCTTTGAATATTTATATCTTTCTATCTGACAGGTGAGGTCTTCTTCACCAGCGACTTTGACAGCTTCTCATATGATGAGGCTGTGCAGCATTGTCAGAAACTCAACACCACCCTGGCATCCCCTGGGCAGCTGTACGCTGCCTGGAAACAGGGACTGGACAAATGTCGCCCAGGCTGGCTGTTGGACAGGAGCGTCCGCTACCCCATCGCCAGCCCCAAGCCTCACTGTGGAGGTGGCCAAGCTGGGGTCCACATCATCTACGCTTTCTCCAACCAGACGGGGTTTCCTGATGAGCACTCACGATATGATGCCTACTGTTTTAGAGGTTAGAATAACACAGAGTTAAATGTGTGTTTTTCAACTATTTCACAAACCCACCAGTGTTCTGACAGAACATTTAACGGGTAGACAAGGTTGAGGTTTTACTGCCAAGGCTCACAGTCTGTGAAATGTTGATTTCCTGACACATTTTCTTACTGTAGTTTGGGTTCATCTGTGCAACCAAACCATCTGATGTTTTGATACTTTTCTTCACTTTCACTCCTTGTTTTGCTTTATCCAATAAGACAAAGGGTTAATGGATAGCCAGATGAACAGTCAAAATGGGCAACATTTTACTTCACCTAAAATAATCACAAGAAAGAAGAAACATGAAAGAAAATGTAAACTTTCAGGCAAAGATTCATCATTTGAAACCTATCTGACATATTTTCCAACATCCTATTACTTTTCATCCAAGTCAGGAAATAAAAATACACGATTAATTTTAAAATTGATTAATAGTTATATTATTAAAATAGTTGATTAGGAAATGATACATGTTTTAGGTCACACTTTTTAATATTCATAAGCTGATGGTTCTGTACCGTCACATTACAAGGCTGGTGTTGAGATGACGATCACAATATCTATCCACTGATAATGAAACTACAGTAGTCCCTCTTATCGCGGGGGGGTCCATATCCTGAATCCCCGCGATTAGTGAAAACCTGTAAAGTAGGAATAGTAGTACAAGTAGTAGTAGTTTTTTTTTTAAAAGGCATTTTAAACCCTTCCCACACTCTTGGAATATTCTAAACAATGTTTCTCTGAACGCTCTAAAAGAGCACAGAATGGCATGATTTCAGCTCTTTGCCTCCGGCTGCATTCTCGTCCACGCCCACTTCTCCGCTCTGCATGGAGCATCAGAATCAGAATAAGCTTTATCGTCATTGTACCGGGATACAGTTAGATTATGTTCGTACAGTCGTCCGAAAGATGGGCAGAGTGCACGTTGATGCTGCTACATGAGCGTGGACTCTTATTCTTTATCAGAATACTTTTTAGATAGAAAAAGGTAAAAGGCCATGAGGATGGATAGTGGTATTACAAAAAAGATCTCTTCACATCTTGTTTTATCAGGACATGATTTGAGACATCAAAAAACTCTACCAGCAAACACTTTTATAAACACAATTACATGTGCATTTGACGTCAAGATGTTGAGATTTGTCCATGAAGCGCTTTCAGATAGGCCATAGTGAGAGCGAGAGCAGAAAACAATGAAATTTGACAACGACAAAAAGGAAGGATATTTAGGCTTTATAAAAATAAAAATTAAAAAATTTGTGCTTTTTGACTGTACCCAAAACTAAACAAATCAAAATCGGACAAAAATAAACGTGTAGCTCATTTGTTCCCAGAAGGTCTTCAAAGATTCAAAGATCATATTTCAAAAATATGTTGGTTTTGCACTATTCAGTCCAAACTACTCCACTTTCTAAACAGTTTTCTCTCTTATTTTTTTTTTTTATTTTTTCAGCTGAAAGCTCAGATGTTCATATCGAAGAAGAAGTCATCAAAGAACTGGAAAAAACGTTTGTGTATCCGACAGTAACCTTTTCTCCTACTGGTAAGAATGAAGCAAAAAATCAGATGTGTCAAATTTTACAAAGCGTTCATTTTGTGTCTCATTTTTTGTTTGTTTTTAGAAACAGCTACAACTGAGGTGTACAATGAAACAGAAGCTGCTGTAAATATAACTGAAACTGAATTAATCCAGAAAGCGACGGTCCAAACTCAACATGTTGCTCCTACAGGTGAGAAAATAACCTGGCCATTTTTAACCGTTTGTTAATGACAAACTATTAAAACAGAATGGGTTATGTGTAAAAGTGGTCACAATAAAATATTAATTAACTTCACAGTATTATAATTTTGAAAAGATTGTAGGTTTAAGTGCTTATATAAAGTCATTTATATAACTTTTATTCTGCTGATTCAGAGGAATTCCTTGTAATACTCGGTTGAATGCAATTTGGATAAATATGTTATTTATATGAATATTACTTGTGCAATAATTTAACAATTTTTATATGATGTGATGACATTTATAACAGAGTAAAAGATAATTTGTTACAATATAATTACACTTTTAGCTGTTTCATAGCTTTTAGCTGTGTTATACCATTTCTTTACAAATACTAAACCCAAAAGTAAAATCTTATTAGTCTTTTATAAATGCTGTCTCGTTTGTGACAACAGTGTTAAAGAAATAAGCTATTTTTTTATGTTTTATTCATATTTACCCGTTTCCACAGAGAAAAGCCTTGTTCCTCCGGTCCCAACCGATGTGCCCGGATCTGGTTCGGGTCAACCTTCAGCAAGCGGAGAGACCTCAGGAGAATCCGGCTCCTCCAGTTCCAGTGGTGACGTGTCTGGATCAGGACATGGCATCACCTTCAGCGGACACACTGATATCTTCTCTGGAGAACAGTCCACCTCTGGAAGTCCAGAGGAGCTGGAGGGGGGAAGCGTTGATTTTTTCACATCTGGAGATTTGGGTAGTTCATCTGGATCTGGATCTGGATCTGGATCTAGATCTGGATCTGGATTAGGATCAGGATCTGGATCAGAATCTGGATTTGGATCTGGTTCTGGTTTTATATCTGGTTCTGGATTTGAATCTGGATCTGGCTTCAGTATATCAGGATCTGGTTTCAGCAGTGGAGGTGTGGATGTCAGTGGTAGCGGTGAGGCCTCTGGGATTGTCCTGGTGAACGGAGACATGGTAGACATATCAAAAACCCACCAACATCGCACAGAGCAGGAATTTGGCCAGGGAGGAGTTATTATCAGTGGAGACTTTATGGGATCAAGTGGTTCTGGATCTGGCCATGTGTCTGGTTCTGGATCCCTCCATGTGTCTGGTTCTGGATCCGGCCATGTGTCTGGTTCAGGTTCTGGTGAGTTTTCTGGCATTTCATTTGTCGATCACAGTGGCATCGACTTGACAGAGCAGCAGTCTGGACTCCAAGAACTATCTGGATACCAGCCCTCTGGATCGGGGTACCACAGTGGTTTCTCCAGTGGTTTTCCCTCTGGCGTTTCAGGCAGTGGTTCTGCCTCTGGAGACCCCATCCATCATTACGATGGTGTCGTTCTATTAACAGATGGGCTAATTGAAATGACTGGATCCCCACAACGTCCTGAGCATGGCCGTGGTGTGGTGGTGGAGATGAGCGGGGAAGGTAGTGGCTCAGGGATCAGTGGATTCAGCAGCTCTTCGGATGCATCAGGATCTGGAGCCCCTCATGAAACACCTGCTTCTATCATGACTTACAAACAGCATGTAGCAGTGACTGAAGATACAGCCTACACCGCCCCAACCACAGCACCATCCGTGTCATTACAAACCCCTGCAGTTGTGGAGCAGCCTGAAGTAGATGAAGGTTTGTGACTCTTTATATTCATAGTATTTTACAAGTTCTGATCAAATTTGTCTAATAATTAACCATAATGTCAAAATGAAAGTCCCTTTTTTGCTGTCAGTTTCTGTAGACCCTTGCAATCCGAACCCCTGTGGTGCGGGGTCCTGCTCCATGCAGGGAGAACTTGCCGTGTGCCTGTGTCCAGATGGCGTCACCAGAGAAAACTGCTCAACAAGTGAGTCTCCAAGATGCAGCGCATTCATTTTGACGCCACCTAACTGAAAGAGTGGACAGATGAACACATTTATAGACCCTTTATTGTTATCTCAAATGTGTGCAGCGTTGCAGGGATGTCTTGACGGCTGGAAGGAGTTTCATGGCAGCTGCTACTACCTCTCTGAAGATAGACACACCTGGTCTGAGGCCGAGCTGCACTGTCTGGAGTTCAACGCCCACCTGGTCAGCATCAACTCCTTGGAAGAGCAGGAGTTTGTCAGCTGTGAGTTAAAATGAGCAGTAAGGTCTCAGTAAAGTTTATGTTTTATAGAGACAACAGGATTTACATTTCCTTTACAGCCAGTGGTCTGGATTACCAGTGGATTGGACTTAATGACCAAGTTGTGCAGAATGAGTTCAAATGGACAGATGGGAGTCCACTGGTAAGTTTTGTTGGAGACAATAGCTGCTCATTGGTTCGTTAATTTCACATCAGGTTTCAACCAACTACTTTTATCTGTTTACATGATGAATTCAGTCCTTTGTGAACTGGAGGCCCAACCAGCCGGACAACTACTTCAGTTCTGGGGAGGACTGTGTGGTGTTGATCCTGCACGAGGGTGGGCAGTGGAACGATGTGCCCTGCAACTACCACCTTCCCTACACCTGCAAGATTGGACCTGGTAAGTTTACTGCCATCATGAAGTACGGGATGTCTCTGATTGAGATCTGATTTTGGGAATTAAAAATGGCAGATTGTTGGTAAATTCAGGACATAGCTGTGATACGTTAAATCTTCCATCCACTGTCTTTGTAAAGAAACCATGTATAATGCAGTAAAAAACACAAAACATTTAAGTTTACCTTGCTGAAAACTCACTTAAGCAAAGTTGAATTTCTACTTATTTATTTTTTTATTGACTTTTGAGGATCAACTGGTTACTGGTTGTGATACAGTTCAATAGGCTGGGGTTATGCTTCCGCAAAACCGGGATTAGTGACCCTCGTGACCCGAGAAGGAAGAAGCGTGTTGTTGATACATAAGCAATATTTGATGAAAATAAACCTCTTTATTATGGCACAAATAAATTATCCATCTTTTTAGTTTTGAAAAGCTTTTCAAACTTTTAAGGAACTCGTCTTAAAGGCAGTTGGTAGAGCTGTTGCCTCTCAGTGAGCAGGTCACTCCGGTTCAAATCCCAGTCTGGGGGCATTTCTGGTGGGATTTTGCATGTTCTGTCCGTGCATGCACGGGTTTTTTCCAGGTACTCTGATTTCCTCCCACAGACCAAAAACATGCATGTTAGGCTGATTGGTAACTCTAAATTGTCCCTAGTTGAGCCAGAGAGTGAATGGTCGTTTGGCTCATTTGTCTCTATGTGTCCCTGTCATGGACTGGAGACCTGTCCAGAGTGTCCCCGCCTCGCGAACAGTGATAGATGGACACTAATGACCCGAGAAGGAAGAAGCGGGTAAAGATAATGGATGGGTGGATGTCTTAAATGGGTAGATGTCTCACCTTTCCCACAATAACACCATGAGATAATCTTTCAACAAGATTACCTCTGTCTGCATTTGTATCTATGCCCTGCATCGTATACCTCAATCTTTCTTGGACAAGTGTGAGAGCAACTTGGGCGTCAGTTTCAACCCCGAGCTGATCTGTCAGATCTTGAGGTTAGTTTCAATAACTGATGGCCAAGCTGACATAGGGAGAGGATTCATTGACTCTATGACTCCATTCCACACTCAAGAAGGTGTCACACCTTGCTGACGTCAATCCAGCAGACAGCCTCCTACTACCAACTCTGTTATTTCATCTGATATTGTAAACAATGCAACATTCACATGACCTGTTAACATGTGCAGTTTCATTTTTGTTAATGAGTGTAAAGTGAGGTTTAAAGATCCTGTTGAATTAACATTTGTTTGTGTGTCCACTTGTTTGTCACCTGTGTCAGTAATGTGCAGCGCACCCCCTGAAGTGGAACATGGCAAACCAATGGGCAGCAGAAGAGATTACTACCCCATCAACTCTATAGTCCGTTATGAGTGTGACGCAGGCTACACACAGCGCCACCTGCCCATCATACACTGTATGGAGAATGGGGAATGGCAACAGCCCAAAGTAGAGTGCATAGAAGGTAAGCAGAAAGGAGGTTCTCAGAATATGAGTTTAACAAGCACGTTTTAGCACTTTTTATCTATTTTATACTATATTATCCATGAGGAACTCTGGAGTAGCAGAGAAGTATGCTAGACTGGTACAGGACATGTGTGAGGACAACAGGACAGTGGTGAGATGTTCTGTAGGAGTGACATAATTTGAATGTGGAGGTGGGAGTGCATCAAGGATTGGCTCTGAGCCCCTTCTTGTTTGCTCTGTTGATGGACTGACAGATGAGGTCAGGCAGGAATCCCCATGGACTATGATGTTTGCAGATGAAATTGTGATATGTGATGAGAACAGGGAACAGGTGGAAGAGAATTTGGAGAGGTGGATGTATGCACTTGAAAGAAGAGGAATGAAAGTCAGCCGTAGTACGACAAAGTACATGTGTGTGAATGAGAGGGAGGAGGTGGAACAGTGAGACTACAAGGAGCAGAGGTCACAAAGGTGCAGGACTTCAAGGCCTTGGGGTCCACTGTACAGGAAAATGGAGAGTGTGGTAAAGAGGTGAAGAAGAGAGTCCAGGCAGGTTGGAGTGGATGGAAAAAAGTTTAAGGAGTGATTTGTGACAAAAGGGTGTTGGCAAAGGTCAAAGGAAAAGTTTACAAGACAGTGGTGAGACCAGTTATATTGTATGGTCTGGAGACAGAGACATGGACAAAAAGACGGGAGACAGAACTGGAAGTGGCAGAAATGAAGTTGTTGAGGTTCTCCTTAGGCGTGACAAGGATGGATAAGATTAGGAATGATATCATCAGAGGTACAGCACAGGTTTAACAACTGGGAGATAAAGTTAGAGAGGACACACTGAGATGGTTTGGACATGTCCAGAGGAGGGACAGTGGGTATACTGGTAGAAGGATGTTAGGGATGCAGCTGCAGGAAAAAGACAAAGAGGAGATATATGGATGCAGTTAGAGGACATGGAGGTCGTTGGAGTGAGGACAGAGTGAGATGGAGGAGGATGACTCGCTGTGGCGACCCCTGAAGAGCGAAGATTATCCCCAGTAATTCTTATCCTTATTCAGGAGGAAATGAGGCACTGAAGAAGCAGGAAAGATCCTGAGTATGACTAAGATTTCAATCTGGAAACAAATGGAGTATAATTTATAAAATGTGCCAATGTAGCCATCAAGCAAAAAAAAAAAAAAAAAAAGCCTAGATTTTAAAATTACACTGATGAATTTATGCCAGCTAGGGAACCCCTCATTTAAAAGTCTCGTCTGTAAATCTTTGGGTAACTCCTTTTAGCATGATGTCATCAGTATGCGTACCTTTTCTCCCCCCAGCCGATGCCAACAGTCAGAGGCTACACAAAAGGTCCCTCTGGAGAAGAAGTAAAGGTGTCAGCAGCCGACAGGAGCCAAGGAAACTGCTCTGAGCAGCACTGAAAGAGACATACAACAGAGAGCCACAAAGGAACCTTCTTGGAAAGAAGCTTGGACACTAATCCAAATGTCTGACCAAAAACCATAGCGTGCCCTCCTTTGTATACACACACACTAAAGCACATTTAGACGCTGACAGAGACAGTGACGGATGTTTTGGAACTTTGATTGACACCCTGCATCCTTTGAAAGAAGGTTTTCTTTCGATTTTAGCATCTAATTTACAATCTCGTATTTTATTTTTTTTTGTTTCTTGCCATGATCTTTTCTGAAATCTGCGGCTCACAAAGAAGGGTTGATAAAACCGACCAAAAGGTTTCAAGAGGCTGAAGAGTGACAAACAAAAATCCAAAACAGCTTAGGAAATGTTTTCAATTCAGACAATAGATTTTTACCATATTTAGAGTTTTTCTAAACTCGTTTCTTAGCCTTTCGTGGCGGATTCTAGATGCTAAATGCAACTTTTGTTTATAACGCAGTGTTCAGTTAAACCTGCTGGTTGTGACAACGATGAAAGATAAAATTGTTTCATTGGATCGGTTGGAGTTGACTTTGAGGCTCCGTTAATTCCAAGATATTTAAAGCTTTTAATCATGTCACAACCTTACGTTTGACACCTATTTTACTAAAAGATCTGCACAGCTTTAGGTTTTCTGAACTTATTGATTTGTTCTGTATATTGACGATCGTCAAAGGAAATGTGTGATTAAGTGCAACACCACCTGGATTGAAATAATCAGCACTTTATGCACTTTTGAGGTCTTTTGTCATTTCTGTGCTAGTCATTTGAATCCAGTGCACTTTTACATACAGCTAAAGAAAACAACAAGCGACACTTGTCTAACAATTCATACACGCCTAATGAGAACTGCTGGATTTCTCCGAGTGGGCGTCACCAGCTCGGTCATCCGATGACCTGAAAGATGCAGATTCACTTTTGCAGGTTGCCACTTTTTAAGAGAAATCCGACAAGTTCATGATGTGACATAAAATCATGGATTCAGTGTTTGCTTTGTGACGAGTTTCTTCATGTAAATATCCTCGCCTTCAATCTTCTGAACAGCAGGATCTGTCGTTGACTTGCACGGTGCAATTGTGACTGTTTCATTTACAGTATTCATCATTTACATGTTTGTTTGTTTTTTTTGTATTGTTAGTTCTGAGAGCCAGCAGTACAGAGAAAGACAAGTTTGATTTTTCAATTTGATTATTAAACCTGCCTCTTAGTCTCTTCAGAAATCAAAAGCTGAGCCGACAGAAATGGTTTAAAAAAATTGGCTTTGAATAAGTTGAGACTTCTGATGTTTTTGAGGTGAGCCGGTGAGATTCTGAAAAGAGGTTATGAACAGTTAATATCTCACCTGTCGTAGGTAACTCGATTCAACTTCAGTTTGGAAAAAGAAAGAACTTGTTCTCACCATATGATGAGCTAATGGCTAATTTAAAAGAAAGTCAACGTTTATCTCAAGTATTTCACAAAAAGTTCACGTGGATGAGATTTTGTAAACCTTTAAATTGTTATTAATTTAACTTTACAGCTAATTTGTCAACATATTAGCATATTCACAGAGGACATGCATGCACCAGAAGTTCTACTGCTAGCTGCTGCTGTTACTGTGCCTGCACGTAACGGCAGTCTTTCATGTAAATAACCAAGTAGTGCAAAGCTGACAGCAATGTAAAGGTTTATAAAGTTTATTCACAAACTTCTTTACATTTTTTTTAAATCGAAGACCTTGGCTTCTCTTGGACTAGCTATTAGCTAAATAATCTGATCAGAACAAATGTGGGAGTGTATCCATATTTATATACCGTAATTTCTGGACTATAAGCTGCTACTTTTTTCACACGCTTTGAACCCTGTGGCTTATACAATGCTGCGGCTAATTTATGGTTTGTTTGTTTGTTTTTTGACGGGCTAACGAGCTTCCTGCCACCAAAACATTTTGCTTCATCACACCCGAGCACTCGCATATCTGCCCACTACACGCCTATCATGGGGGGTGGGTCCTCGTGACTCAAAGAGACTACCTGTATAAATAAAGGTTAGAAAAAAAAATCTGACCAATGAAATTATCAAACAGGCCACAGTGGAGCAATGAAACAGTGTGAGGGAGGGGGAGGGGGGATCCCCCCGCATGTGCAGAGTAACATTTGCTCAATTCTGATAAAGATAGCAATCAATGACTTCCTGGTAGGCTAATGCATTTTTTATTTTTTTAACCAGCTGTGTTACAGGCGCTGTTCAGGAAAAAAAAATACTGTAAGATAAGATAAGATAAGATAAGATAAGATAAGATAGAACTTTATATATATATGTGCATGTTACCGGTATGTATTTAATTAAATTTTAAAGGTCTTTCTGTGTAAATATCTCATATTACAATGTGGACACCCGCGACTTATAGACAAGCGCGGCCTATATATTTACAAAATTATAATTTTATTTTATTTTTATTTAGTGGGCACGGCTTATATTCGGGTGCGCTCAATAGTCCGGAAATTACGGTATATGCTGTATATAAATGGACTTGTATTCTGTAGTTAAAGACATTTTTGCTTTACACCAGGAAGCTTTCTCAATCCTAAACTGGCGAGTGTGGAGCTTGAAGCTTTTAACGGCACAAGAAGCTCCATTATGCATCTAAATTTATGTGCAGATTATTCTCACTCCTCTCCCACCTGAGGTCATAAGGGTCTTTGTAATCTCTTATTATTTAATCCCAGAACCAGGAGATCACACAGACCCCATCATCACTTTATCACATTATTGAGCTGCAAAGCCAGCTGTCTATTCAAATGCCGACTGTTTCGCCTCTGTTACTACCTTGTTTCATGACAAAAGGGCACATCAGAAATGGATTTGTTTTGCCCCCACTCGCCACCTCTGTCTGTTCAGAAATCACACAGAAGAGCTAGAAAACGTCAAAGTCCCAGCTTTTTTAAAGTTTTGATATCATCTGCCTTCAGACATTGTTCAACCCTCACAGCAACACAAACCAGTCAGTGGAGCTCTACACCATCAAGCCCAACACATCCCCACTTGAACAAAGGGGTTCACACAGCGCCATTTTTAAGTGAATCTGGAACATTTCTGCTCATTTCAGCCATTTGTGTACACGACAACAGCGATTGTTTTCTCCGATGTCTTAACTTTTGCATCAACAGCAAACAGTTCTGTTTGTTGCAGTCTGGTCTAAACAGCCATTTACATAAACTGGTAACTTTTTCCACAATCAACAGAAAAATCTCAAACGTTTCCAGAGATTCTTCGTGTGTAAACCGGGCGTAACGGTTGGAAATCCACAGTCTAATCCTGGATTGAGAAAGCTCCCCGGATGGGACATGAAACATGTGAATAGAAGTCCACTTGTTTTGTTTTTTAAAACATTTTTTGGGGGGGTGCAAGGGGGTGATTTGCCATATGTCTTTGATGACTGAGGCTCTACACCACCATTTATCCACAATAAGAACAAACTTTAGAATGAAGGCAGAAGTTTCAAGGAAAACCTGGCGCTTTAGGAATTACTAATGTGTGTATCCGTGAATACTTAGCAGTTCTTTAACAAACTGAAAAATCTTAACAGATGAACCAAAACACAAGCAAACAGACATGACTATTGTTGTGACTTTGTCCAGATTCTGAACCCACAAAATAAAACTTGGAATCATTTGTCTCAGTCTCTTTATTGACCAAGTTTTCCCTTCCTTCCTTCAGCCTCAGACAGTTGGACTCAAGCAACCAGTGAAGGCCGTTCTACATTGTACGTAACTTTTATGATGAGTGTCCCATGCTGTTTCCCTCCCTCATTTCCTGGAAGCGACTTTCCTTGAAGTAGAGGCATTTAGGGTAAACCTTGCAGAGCCGCAGAAACAACTCGGGCATTTAGTTTGTCTGCACTTTCCTGTTTGAGTCAACAGTGGGAAAAACGTGCAATAAATAGTGCCTTCATTAGGATATACAGTGGCTGTGTTCATGACTGCAGGCACTGCCAACAGAGCTCTGTGTGTGTGTGTGTACATTTTTGGCCTAAATGCATAAATAGGATCTGTTTTGTAGAAGCTGTAGCCACATAATCAGTGGCAGCAGTGTTCAGAACCGGATGCAGGAGTGTGTAATGAGGCGTTCACTTTCACTCATCTAACAGTGCGTCGTGTTCAGACAGAGCGGCGTTAACTTGACGTGCACAGCTTGTTCTGTAAGGGTCTGTAAGCCTCTGACCCAAGCATTCCTGCCTGAGAACAAGTACAAAATAAGAAGGACATGAACACCACCATAACATGTTATTTATGTAACTAAGACTTTATGAATAAAGCTCCTAAATCTATTAAACATGTTTTTTTTGATAATTTTGTTTTGTTTGTACCTCCACTGAGCAAATTAATACTTGGTCAGAGATGGTGCGTGCACCTCTGTTGTGCGACAGTTAAGACACCTGTTAAATACAGTGAGATTATGTTCATACAGTTGTCCGAAAGATGGACGGAGTGCACGTTGCTGCTGCTCCTGAGAGCGCAGCCTCTTATTCTTTTAGATAGAAAAGGGGAAAAGGCCATGGGGGTGATAGACAGAGCTTTCTTAGTTTACACATATCCCAGGAGAAATTTGATAAGTCGAGCTGCTTCAAGGCCAAACGGGGGAGTCAGATTCAGATAAGCCAGAGTTGTTGATTTTTTTTCAGGCAGACTGTTATTTCTCATCAGTCTTGAGTTCTGCTGGTACTTTTAATCCAAAATGGCCAGATTTGTGGGCATTCCACTGGTCCGTGCTTACTAGCTCCCTCCAAGATTGTCCCCTACATGTTGGAGAGTACCAGAAGCTGCAGGTGGCCTGCAATTCTCACAAATCACTTCCGTCTTACGGTTTAGCTCATAAATCAGCTGATTTTGAGTACTCGGAGCAAGAACCAAACACATGGTTGGCAGCTTTGCCATGGCCGAAACTGCTGCTGCCGTCTTCTTTAATAGCCGATAACATAGGTATCCACCGGTGCTAAAAAGCAGAAACTCTGCTATCATGAACATCTTCAACGTCCTCCTGAGACAATACGGAAAGGCACTTTAAATCATGACGCATCCTGCCGCATGCGTCTCAGCGGGGCATGAGGGCTCTCCAGGCCACTGTCGCTTTGTTGAAAAAAATGTCATCGATTGTGTTGAAAGTCCAGCTGACCAGATCCATGACAGTAGTTTACATTTCGGAAGATGTGTAAATAAGAGCTCCGATAGATACACAAGACAGAGAGCAAAAAAGCAGGAGGAAGACGGGAGAGGGAAGAAAGGCGTCCGTCTTGCACGAGAGCGAGTGATCTGCTGCGATCTGGAGCGGGGGTTTGAACCCAAATGCAGGCAGGACTCAGAGAACTCAGAAAGTAACTAGAACTTAAAAAAAAAAAAAACAATGAGCTGGCGTGGCAGCAAAAACTTACATGATCACGAGACGACACTGGGGGAGGAACACAGGAGCAGGGAGACATAACCAGAACACAAGGAACCGTGCTCAGACCAATGTCCAGACAACAAATACCAGAGACTTCTATAATGATGAGACATAAACACAAACACCTGGGACCGACCACAGGTGACACAGACTGATCTACAAAACAAAACACAAGGGGGTGCAGGAGCTGAACACAAGGGGGCACCACCCTCACACTGCCTCAAGCAAATAAGTTGAAGTATTTTTGCATCTTGTTCATGGGTGATCATAGAATGGAGCATTGCACTTCAAGAGTGGCAACTGGCGATGTCTCTCTATTTTATTATTGGGGAAAAAATCTTTAAAGAGTTTTGAGGTGAATGAGAGAACAAGTTATCAAAAATAATCTAAATTGTGGAATTGTGAATACCTTAAGCACGATGAAAGTATTTGCACAGTCAATATATTTACAATCTTATTTTATTTGTAGAAAATAGTACAAATGCATAAACACAATAAAAAAACATAAAAGGGTTGTTCGCATAAACAAGGTTCCTTCATCCATACGGTAGTTTATGCTGTATATTACAAGAATACAGAGTAAAGATCACAATACCTGCTCTGTCTATCACAGAGAACAATTCGTTACCACCTTTACAACAAAAACACACGTTACGTTTCATAAACTAGTAAAAGGAATCTATTTTACAAGTTAAAAAATCCAATGGAGTTCATGCTTCTTCTGAGATACAGTTAGCAAAAGTAGAGTCACAAGATGGAAATCTGTAGATAAAAGACAAACTTTAAAAATAACGTTTATTGTCAGAGTGTTTTAATTTAAAGTATGTTTCGAACAAGTTGTGAACAAATGTTAACAGCAGGATTATACCTTATTATGTACACCTGACTTTAATGCTTCACCTACACAACCCTCATTACGTTTATAAAAGTTTTCCTGCTTCATTTGCAGCTCTCATCTACTCAAGAGATGTGGATGAAGAAAAACAGAGATTTTTTTTAATGATTTGCTAAGTTTACAAAAATTAGATTCATGGTGTGTCTGTGTGGACGAAGCGTTTCAGAAACGATGTCATGACAGTATGGGATCGTTGGCCCGTTGTTACAGGCGGTTTGGTCCCTACAAGCTGTGAGAGTTTGTTTCGCATTGCAGGTAGTAAGTCGGACACCTTCAGGGTGGGAGTTGTCACCGATTCTGTTCATAACTTTTATGGACTGAATTTCTCGGTGCAGCCAGTGGGTGGAGGGAGTCCGGTTCGATGGCCTCAGGATTCCATCTCTGCTCTTTGCAGATGATGTGGTCCTGTTGGCGTCATCGTGCCGTGATCTTCAGCTCTCACTGGAGCGTTTCGCGGCCGAGTGTGAAGCAGCTGAGGTGAGAATCTGCACATCCAAATCTGAGACCATGGTCCTCAGTCAGAAAAGGGTGGATTGATCTCTTCAGGTCGAGGGTGAGGTTCTGCTTGAAGTGGAGTTCAAGTATCTCAGGGTTTTGTTCATGAGTGAGGGAAGAATGGAGCGTGAAATTGACAGATGGATTGGTGCAGCATCTGCAATATTGCGGACTCTGGACCGGTCCGTTGTGGTGAAGAGAGAGCTGAGCTGTAAGGCAAAGCTCTCTGTTTACTGGTCAGTCTACGTTCCTACTCTCACCTCTGGTCATCAACTCTGGGTAGTGACTGAAAGAATGAGATCGTGGATACAGGCAGTTGAAATGTTTCCTCTGCAGGGTAGCTGGACTCTCCCTTAAAGACAGGGTGAGAAGTTCAGTTATCAGTAGAACCACTGCTCCTCCACATCGAGAGGAGCCAGTTGAGTTGGTTCGGGCATCTGGTAAGGATTCTCCTTAGGGAGGTGCTTCAGGCATGTCCAACTGGGAGGAGACCCCAGGGAAAACCCAAGCCAACTGAGAGACTACCTCTCAGTTGGCCTGGGAATGCCTTGGGGTACTCCCAGAAGAGCTGGAAGAGGCGGCTGTGGAAAGAGAGGTCTGGACCTCACTGCTCAAGATGCTGCCCCCCGAGACCTGACTTCAGAACAAGAGGATGGATGGATGGATGGATGGATGGATGGATGGATGGATGGATGGATGGATGGATGGATGGATGGATGGATGGATGGATGGATGGATGGATGGATGGATGGATGGATGGATGGATGGATGGATGGATGGATGGATGGATGGATGGATGGATGTCATCACAGCCTGTTTCATGCAGGCACACTAACACTTGTTGCCATCAAAACTAAAACAACAATGGAGCTGTTTATACCAGTCTCTTTTTTTAATTCATGTGACTCACTTCTTCCTGATATTCTTCATAAATTCAATGACCTAAAAAGGAAAATGTAAACACTCTCAAAGAAAAAAAAAAGGCTGAACTTTTTCTGGGAAAATCTTTAGCTATGCTCTTTATCTGCAGTTTGATGTGGTGCTAATATTTTCCTGGTATTTCAGGTTTTTTTTGCCAGAATCACGGGGACACAAAAGTAAATAAAATCTGATAAAAAAAAAAAAGTATATATTTAAAGCATGTCTGTAATGTAGGCAGGGCCCAAGGCAACATTGCAGAACAGCTAGGTTAAAAAAAGAAAGTATTTAGCTTGGTGCAGAACCTGACTACAGAATTTTGCAATAAAATGAAGCAGAAGCTGTAAGAAAACATTATGACAGTTTCATGCTGAGTGAATGACAGCAACTTATTTGAGATGTTTTCACAAACTGTGGTGGAAAGCTTCACTGAACAAGGTTTGTATAGCAGCATAACAGTTTAGAACCACATGCATATTAGTGACTATAATGTTTCATAAAGGTTTTTGTAAACTTTGAGCAGAATCTTACCATGAATGTGCATAGTTCAATGCAGCTGTTGATTGATAGTCAAGCTCAGTGCTGAAACACTGACATGACTTTGTGTCCCCCCCCCCCCCCCCCCCCCCCCCCCCCCCCAAAAAAAAAAAAAAGCTCTGAAATCGCCCGTTTGTCTCCAGGATGTATTTCGTGCTGCTGTGCAGATCAAATCTTTGAGCCTGTTCAGTGGATGAACAGTTGCCTCGTGCCGAGTCAAAACATCTGCTTATAACAGTACACGCCAAATTTCACAGACGGAGCAGGAAACCCAAAGCTACGCACACCTGGTTCTGGTGGACCACAGTTAGCCCGGGGGCTTGTGATAGGATACCGTACACTTCTATCAGACAACCAGCCCGCCTTGCAGCAGTCCAGTCCCATTAGCTTCCATGCAGCGAACAGCTGACCCACTTTGGCAATTTGACCTCCATTGGTGGCACAAGCCTGAACCGCTTCCGTGTAGTTGAGCTCAGCTGCGTGGTTCAGGTAATACACCGTCCCTAGAGCAGAAGAAAGCGTTCAGTGAACTACGATGTACTGAGAGTATCTGAAAAAGAACAGACTTGTACCGACCTTTGAGAGAGGCCGTGAAGCAGAAAGCGTCATAGCGGTGGAGAACTTTGTGTCGATGTCCATAGCTGCGCACACCCGGAGCTACATCCTTACCACCACAAACATCTCGTGAACCTTGGACTGGGTACTGGACTGAGCCATCAGCCAACCAGCCGGCGTTGCACCAGTCCAGCCCGTCCTCCCATTCTGTGAAGAGCTGCTCAAACGTAGCCAGAGTGGCGTCCTGGTCCTGGCACGCCCGTTGGGCACTGAAGAAGTTAAAACGGTAGCGTCCTTTCCGAGAGTAGTAAGGGAACACCACACCTGCATTTGGAAACAGTATTCAACGGCATCTTGTAAACTTAAAGAATCCTAAAGTATCCAATACATCTCACTATAAAAATTTCATAAGCCGGATTTTATTTGACTCAAAATATTTTTATATTTGTGAAGTAACTGTGAAGGCAACCTTTTGAATTACAGACATGTTCGATATCATTTTTACATGAAAATAGTAGTTGGACGTGATGTTCAAGGTGTTTAAGTGATGCTTAATTTGCTTGACAAATACAAAAACTGTATAAGTTCTGGTGGACCACAGTTAATGTATGAGTTTGCATAGCTTATACAATTATTTTTATTTTTTTATTTCGGCTGCTCCCTTCTTCAGGGGTCGCCGCAGCGAACAAACTCGCACGAAGACTTGGTAACTGTTTTTACGCCGGATGTCCTTCCTGATGCAACCACAGACCACCGAGCAACCACAGCCCTCTGTGCTCAATATGCTACAATAACACAGAGTACTCAGTTTTACATCATACTGTACCTAAAGCTCTGAGTCAGCATTCTTCTCTTTTAAGTTTGGATTTAGCTCTTTAGGATTCCCTGCCTTAATGCAGCATTTCACTGAGCTGCTGCTGCAGCTGGCAAACAGCTAACGACGTCGCATTCATGAGTGAGTTTCCAAAGCATTCATAAAAATGTCGATTAGAGTTGCATTTAATTGCAGTTGCTGTGAATTTTGATCACGTTCAAAATATACGTGTGATGACGTTTCTCTCAAAATCGTCACAGGCAAACCCAGCCTGACTCAAGAGCTGTAACCTGCAAACCGTGCACGCGAAAATTAACTATGATTTTCAACACTGGCTGTGTAAAATGGGTTTGAACGAGTTGCTGGTCATTTGGTTGTTAATACTTTAATTTCTTGTGTATTCTCTTGTAATACCGAGTCAAGTTTGAGTTGCCAAATAGTGTCCAACAGTCACAGCTCCATGAGATGCTATTTTTACAACACATTCAGGCACTGATTAAAGAAGCCCTTATTGAATATACTCCTTATTGATAATAATACTCAACTATTGACAATAACGTGCACCAAGTCACATCTGTGACACCCAATATGTTTATTTCTGCTGGATTATGTGGCTGTATCGTGCATATCACTGCCTTACCATCACAATTCATCTCAATGTTACCTGTGCAATAACCTGTCACACAACCTGTGTAGTTTATGTAATGTGCATTATTTATCATGCATTTAAGCTAATGTTACTACAATTGTCCCTCGTTTATCACGGGGGACCCGTACCTTGAAGACCCGTGATAAGTGAAAAACCGCGAAGTAGGAATAGTAGTACAAGTAGTTTATTTTAGTATATATATATATATATATATATATATATATATATGTGTGTGTGTGTGTGTATATAAAGTGTTTTAAACCCTTCCCACACTCTTGCAATATTCTAAAAGTTTCTAAACTCTAAATGCTCTAAAAGAGCACAGAGTGTCATGATTTCAGCTCTCTGCCTCCGCTGCTCTCAGCCACCTGCAAGTGTTCTTGGCCACGCCCACTTCTCCACTCTGCACGGAGAACAGCTGATCAGCTGCAGCAGGAAGTTTATCCTGCAGTGTGGGCTGCACAAAGCTGCAGAAGGTGCTAAATAATGTTAAATAATTTATTTTAAATAAAAATTCCATGCAGCTCATCCATCAATCAGCCAGTTGTGTGTCATGTCCAATCTTGTTTTGAAAAACCGAGATACAGCGAGTCCGTGATAAAAAAAAAACGTGAAGTAGCGAGAGACTACTGTACCTGTTGTTTACTATATTTCTTTTGGACCTTGTAAATATTATACATCTATTCCTTTTACACTTTTGGGACTTTATTTTGTACTTTTATTGCATTCTTTAGTATTTCTTGTTTTGCTTTTTAAGCAAGTCAAACCGGTTCCATCCTGAACATTTCATTGCATTGTGTTAACCTGCATATGACAAATAATCAATAATCTAGCCCCTAATAAGAATATCTGTATTTTTTCTTGATGTTGCAGCTGTAACAATATGTTTCAGTTGTTTATGTTTGTTGTCGGGGGCTACATGATATAATCTGACACCACTTCCCTCAGTCCAGCCCGTTTCTAAGCGGGATCTAAATCTCACCCGTCAGCGCCAGCTTCACTGTCACGCTTTCATCCTCCAGGCCGTCGATCACTTCACACCGGTACCGCCCCGTGTCGTTCAGCTGCAGCTCGTTGATCACAAGAGACATGTCTCCTGGAGCTGACCGTCGCAAGCGCACACGACCTTTGAAGCTGCCGTAGCTGCGATGACGGTTGCCCATGGCAACCATCACTTTGGATTCAATGGCGAAGGCTTCAGGCGGCGTGGCGTTGGTGTATGCAGGCAGCCAGAACCATCTGACCCGGGTTCTGCGGGGCGTTGTGAGCTCGGGCTCGTAGTGGTAGTGACAGGGAAGGGTGACGTTGCTCCCCTTGGTGGCCGACACCGAGTGCTGAGGAGATTCCACATAGAGTCGAATCCCGTTGAAATAAACTGGAATGTGCACAAAACACCAGAAACATGTAGTTGGTTAGTTGTAGCTCACATCAACACATTTTGGTTTAGAGTTGACATTTTTGATGAATCTGAACTGAACACAAGTTAACAAGGCACGAGCTCTGAGAACAGAAGTAAAACTGCACAACATGGCCGTCCAGATCAGACGCTGCTGGGGCAGCGAGTGAGGCCTTCGGCTGAAGCCGCCAGATTATTTCTAATTCACGGTTTTAAATATAGTTTTTAAAATGCAAATTGATTAAAATGCCTCTGGTTTCAAACAAACACATTTAGTTAATAAAACAGAATTACCACAAAGAGAGTAGTTTTATGAATGACACAATGACATTGTGGTCAAATAACAGTCAGTCCGCATCCATTTGTTTAATAAACTGTAAATTAAGATTAGGAAGATAATTCCAAATCCGAGGCTGTGGTCCTCAGTCACAAAAAGGGTTCATTGCTCTCTTTGAGTCGAGGTTGAGGTTCTGTCTCAAATGAATCTTGGGGTTTTGTTCACAAGTGAGAGAAGAACGGAGCGTGAGATTGACAGATGGATTGGTGCAGCGTCTGCAGTATTGTGGACCCTGTGCTGGTCCATTGTGGTGAAGAAAGAGCTGAGCTGTAAGGCAAAGCTCTATTTACTAGTCGGCCTATACAGTACGTTCCTACCCTCACCTATTGTAAGGATGCTTCCTGGACACCTCCCTAGGGAGGTGCTTCAGGCATGTCCAACTGGGAGGAGACCCCGGGGAGGACCCAGGACACGCTAGAGAGACTACGTCTCTCGGTTGAACTGGGAACGCCTTGGAGTCCCTCCAGAAGTACTGGAAGAGGTGGCTGTGGAAAGAGATGTCTGGACCTCCCTGCTCCAGCTGCTGCCTCCGAGACTCGATATCGGAACAAGAGGAAGTTAATGGATGGATGGATGGATGGATGGATGGATGGATGGATGGATGGAGTTCCAGGTGTCTGAGCTACAACCACACCAACTCTGAGCACAACGCCTGTAAAACTGACCGAATTACAGCATGCTCATGTTCTTTGCTCTCAGAAACCTTCATCAATAACATTAAATCAGGTCGAGTCCACAGGTTCATCAGCTGATCTTCCAGAGATGATGTTCTGAGAGTTTGATTAAAAGCTGTCCAGTGTCCCATGAGATATTCTGCTAACAGACACACACACCTGGGTAAAATCATAAGGGCCTTCTTCTCGTTCCGGCAGCAGGGAGGACTCGACACTTCTGCGCAGACTGTGCACGGCAGCGTCTGCTGGTCTGAGCTTTGTTAACGTTATAATTCTCACCTCAAACCTGTGGATCTTCTCGTTTTGACGTAAATTAAGTCACAAGCTTTTTACAACCCACGTCATTCGCTCAGACACTCGTGGCCTCTTAAACCGTGTTCGTGTTTTAATGTTTTGACTAACAAGCTTAAAATGTTCTCAAACGTAAACGGTTCAGAAAAGTTAAACGCTTTCCCCATGAGTTCAGATGTTTGTCTCGTTGACACTGCACAAAGAGTGAAGCTGTAACAGCTGCAACATCTGTATGCAGGCACAGAATCGCTCATTCGGAGGTAAAGAGGATAAAACATCTTAAACACAGACCGGTTTACCGGAAACCAACATCACTCATTAGAAGACTTTGTTTTGCTAACACGGACTGACAGCCTGATGGCCACGAATTATCGTCTTCTTGTCCTCCTACATCCAGGTCACTCCCTGCCAGCTGTTATAATACGCACAAATGATGTCGTTTGTGTGGACGTCTGGCATGAGAGCTGCACGTTCTCTTCTGTTTGTGTGCATGAACACGCACGGAGCACCTACTCTCGTCCTTGCCGTTCCCGTTGCTGAGGTCAGTGTAGTGGAAGCCGTTGAGGTAGCTGAGGATGCTGCTGTGGCTGCAGGGCAGCAGCAGGTACAGGCAGGCGGCCAGCAGGGGGCGCTGAAGGCTCAGCATGTCTCTGCAGAGGAAGCATTGAAAACACAGCTGGAGCTCAGTAGAACCAACAATGTGAAATAAAGTAACACGGGTGACAGTTTTAGGCTTGTTTATTTCATTTGGTAGTTTTTCTACTCAAAATTTATGTAATTTTTCTACTCAAAATGCACGTTTTGCTTTCATGTCATGTGACCCACAGACACAGAATTGTTAAAATATTTCACTAAATTGGCCAAATGAGACACTAATTTTTGTCTGATTTTATTTCATATACAGTTTAATGGATACTTAATTGAAAAATTGATTATTACAAACAACCATTCACTCTCTCACTCACACCTAGGGACAATTTAGAGTTACCAGTCAGACTAACATGCATGTTTTTGGTCTGTGGGAGGAAACCGGAGTACCCGGAGAAAACTCACGCATGCACGGAGAGAACATGCAAACTCCACCCAGAAAGGCCGATCGATCGATTGATCGATCGATCGATCGATCGAAAGGCCGATCTATCTATCTATCTATCTATCTATATATATATATATATATATATATATCCATCCATCCATCCATCCATCATCTTCCTCTTGTTCCAAAGCTGAGTTGCAGGGGCAGCAGCTGGAGCAGGGAGGTCCAGACATCTCTTTCCACAGCTCTTCTGGAGGACTCCAAGATGTTCCCAGTCCAACTGAAAGACAGTCTCTCCAGCGTGTCCTGGGTCTTCCCCGGGGTCTCCTCCCAGTCGAACATGCCCGAACCACCTCAACTGGCTCCTCTCAATGTGGAGGAGCAGCGGTTCTACTGAGTCTCTCCTGATAACTGAACTTCTCATACTATAAGGGGGAGTCCGGCTACCCTGCAGAGGGAACTCATTTCAACCGTCTGTATCCACGATCTCATTCTTTCAGTCACTACCCAGAGTTCATGACCATCGGTGAAGGTAGGAATGTAGACCAACCGGTAAACAGAGCTTTGATTGACAGCTCAGCTCCTTCTTCACTACAATGGACCGGCACAGAGTCTGCAATACTGCAGACGTTCCACCAATCCATCTGCTAATCTCACGCTCCATTCTTCCCTCACTCGTGAACAAAACTCCGAGATACTTGAACTCCTCCACTTGAGGCAGAACCTCACCCTCGACCCAAAGAGAACAATCCACCCTTTTCCAGTTGAGGACCACGGCCTCAGATTTGGAGGTGCAGATTCTCATCCCAGCCGCTTCACACTCGGCTGCGAACCCCTCCAATGAGAGCTGGAGACCTCGTCACAATGACGCCAACAGGACCACATCATCTGCAAAGAGCAGAGATGAACCTCCGCCCCCTGGCTGCACCGAGACATTCTGTCCATAAAAGTTAAGAAGAGAATTGTGACAACTGGAAGTCTTGGCAGAGTCCAAGTCCCACCCTGAAGGGGTCTGACTTAACAGCAATATGAACCAAACTCTTGCTCTGCTTGCTTAGGGACCGGAAAAAAAATCATTAAAATAAATTTAAAAACAATATTTTTTCAATAAAAAAAACGTAAAAAATTACAAAATGCATTGAAAACAGCTAAAAACAAGTGTGCCTCATCTGTGTAGTCTAGTAGAATAATTTACCATTAGTTTTGTGTCAGTGTCACATGAATGTATTGTTCGTTTCTCAGCAGTTGGTAATTTGTGGACGGTCCCTAAGAGAACCACGGCTCGGAGGAGGGGGCTCACAGAGGGGGCAGCTGCCCGAAATCAGACGGCTTGCATCGGCTCAAACCAGAGGAAGACACCGCTGGATCCGCGGAGCTCCAACCTGAAACTTCACCTCGGTCGGCCCGGACATGATGATTAAAGTTTTTTAATATCAGCTGCGTGATTTCATCCAGTTACCCAGTTTACTGTGCTGGTTTACCAAAACAAGTTTATGAAAATATGCATAAATAGTTTATATCTTTAAACATGGCTGTTATAGGCTGCTTCAGTACTCGTGTCGTCGAATCAGCTGAATTAAACACTTTTAAACTAATTCCTAACTGTTTCCGGTGCAAACAGAAAGTCCGTCCACCTCGTTGCTCGGTGCAGGAAGCCCAAGAAAATGTAAAGAGATAAACTCACAGAGCAGCTGTCCGTCCCGCGTCTGCAGCTCTCTTCATGTCCTCCTCATCCTCAGCTCGGACCGTCCTGCCATCCAGAGGAGCGCGCGCTGACGTCACGAGCCGAGGCATCCTCTGTGAAGTGAAGCGTCACGAGCCCCCCGCGCGCTCTGGAGCTGCTGAGCGGCTCGTTTTAAACCCAGACACAGAATCCGCAGAATCATTTCATTTGCATCGTTAAACAAAGAAAACCCACAAAGGTCCTGTTTGTCTCCGTGTGTCCCTGTGATGGACTGGAGACCTGTCCAGGGCGTCCCCTGCCTCTCGCACCAGTGAACCCCCCAACCAAGGACGAAGCGGGTAAAGATAATGGATGTATGTATGGATGGATGTGTGGATGGATATGTGGATGGATGGATGGATGTGTGCATGGATGTGTGGATGGATGTATGTATGTATGTATGTATGGATATGTGGATGGATGTGTGGATGGATATGTGGATGGATGTGTGGATGGATGGATGGATGTGTGGATGGATG